AAAATCTCTTAGCCACTCAACTTCTCCTCCAGCCATATCGAGAGCTATAAATTCTGATTCCATAGTTGATAGGGCTATGCATGTTTGTTTGGAAGATTTCCAAAATATTGCTGCTCCTCCCAAAGTAAATATATATCCACTTGTGGATTTCGTATTAGTACTATACGATATCCAATTCGCATCAGTAAATCCTTCAAGCACATGAAGATACATCGTATAATGCAATCCATAATTCATTGTATGCTTTAAGTATCTCAAAACTCGAATTAAAGCTTCCCAATGATCATGCCCAGGATTGCATGTATATCTACTCAGTCTACTCACGGAATATGCTATATCAGGCCTTGTACAGTTCATAATGTACATAAGGCTTCCAATAACTTGTGAGTATTCACGTTGAGATATAACATCACCTTTATTTTTCTTAGGTTTGCTATTGGCATCAAAAGGAGTAATTGCATCTTTACTTTCCAAATGACCATATTTCTTAAGTGTAGCTTCTATATAATGGGACTGAGTAAGAATATATTCTTCTTGGTTTCTTTTTATTTTTACACCAAGAATCACATCAGCTAGTCCAAGATCTTTCATATCGAAATTTGATTTCAATAATCTTCTTGGTCCAATTTATTATCTCTTTGTTAGTTCCCATTATAAGCATATCATCTACATATAAACACAACATAACGCAAGCATTATTTTGAGTTTTTGTGTAGACACACTTATCACACTCATTTATCTTAAAACCGTGTGTGATCATAACATGGTCAAATTTTTCATGTCATTGCTTTGGAGCTTGTTTAAGCCCATATAACGATTTCACAAGTTTACACACTTTGTGTTCTTTACCTTTAACTACAAACCCCTCGGGTTGTTCCATATATATTTCCTCATCTAAGTCTCCATTTAAGAACACAGTCTTTACATCCATTTGATGTATTTCCATGTTATGGAGTGCAGCTATAGCAATCAATAGTCTTATTGAAGTAATTCTCGTTACAGGTGAGTATGTATCAAAGAAATCCAAACCATGTTTTTGACGGTATCCTTTAGCTACCAAACGAGCCTTATATTTGTCAATTGTACCATCTGGTTTTAATTTCTTCTTAAAGATCCATTTGTACCCAATTGGCTTATTGCCAGGGGGCAAATCGACTAATTCCCATGTATGATTTTGCATAATGGAATCTATCTCACTGTTAACTGCATCCTTCCAAAATGGAGCTTCAGGAGTGGACATGGCCTCCTTGAATGATTGAGGTTCTGTCTCGGTTACTAAGGTCACAAAATCAGGCCCAAAGTCCTTTCGAATTTTTGTCATTTTACTTCTTCTAGGTTCAAGTTCTTCTTCTTCTTGAACTCTAGACGAGGTTGAACCTTCATCATGTTCTCTAGGTTCGTCAGTAACCTCAGATACATCATCATGTATCTCTTTTTCAATAAATTAGACTTGCCTAATTTGTATGGAAAAATATCCTCAAAAAATATTGCATTTATAGATTCTATAACAGTATTGACATGTATATCACTTACTTCAGAATGAAAAACTAAGAATCCATAAGCTGAACTATTAGATGCAAAACCAATAAAAACACAATCTATAGTTTTAGGCCCTAATTTTGTTCTCTTTGGCAATGGAACTTGTACTTTTGCAAGGCAACCCCACACTTTAAGCAATTTAAATGTTGGAGTTCTTCCTTTCCATAATTCATATGGTGACTCCTTTCTCTTTTTAGGTGGAATTCGATTCAAAATTTTATTTGCAGTAAGTAAAGCTTCACCCCACAAATTGTGTGGAAGCCCAAAACTATTCAACATAGAATTGATCATGTCTTTAAAAGTCCTATTTTTCTGTTCGGCAACACCATTTTGTTGTGGTGTATAAGGGGCTGTTGTTTGATGAATTATGCCATGTGTGGCACAAAATTTAGCTATGAAGTAAATAAACATAACAATACTTAATCTTCTTGTTAAGTTAATTTTCAACTTCTGCCTTATATGTCTTAAACATATCCAAGGTCTCATCTTTGCTATGAAGTAAATAAACATAACAATACTTACTGAAATCATCTATAAATGTTACATAATAGTTCTTTCCACCACGAGTTGGATATGATCTAAAATCACACAAGTCACTATGAATTAAATCTAACAAATCATTAGATTTTTCATGCACTGATTTAAAGCTTTGACTTGCAAATTTCGATTCTGTACAAGTTTCACATTTAACATTATCTAGATAATCAATTTTGGGTAGCAAACCTAAATTATGCATTCTAAAAAGAGAACGGAAATTACATGTCTTAATCTAGAATGCCATAAATTAGACGAATCAACAATATAAGCATAAGCATTATTTATTTCATTCATAGCATTAGCAAGTACATTTAGTTTGAATAATCCATTAGCAAGGTAACCCTTTCCCACAAACATTCCCCCTTTAGTTAATACAAACTTATTGGATTCAAAAACTAGTTTGAATCCCTTATTACTAAGGATAGGGCCAGAAACAAGATTCTTCTTTATATCGGGAACATGCAACACGTCAAGAAGGGTTAATTCCTTTCCAGAAGTGAATTTCATAACACACTTCCCTATTCTAGCCACAATAGATGCGGATGCATTTCCCATAAACAGCTGCTCGTTTCCCTCGATTTTCTAGTACGAAGAGAACATATTTCTGTCACCACAAACATGGCGAGTAGCACCGGTCTCTATCCACCAATCAGCATGGTCAGATACAAGGTTGATTTCAGAAATCATTGCAGCCAGGGCATCCACATTGTGTTCAATCAGGTTTGCGCGGTTGTTGTTGCCTTGATTTCCAGGACCTTTATCCCTTCAATGGCGACATTCTTAAGCCCTATGGCCTTGCTTTGCACAAACCCAGCAACTTCCCTTGATTTTCTTGAAGTCTTTGCCTTTCGCACCAGGGATAAAGTGGCTTTCCTTCTTTTTAGTTTTCTGGAATTTTGGCCTTTGCTTTGATGAACTTCCTTCAACAACATTCGCCTTGGCTTCCATACTCGAAACCATGCCCTTCTCATTCTTTCTGTTATCTTCCTCAATTCTCAACCTTATAATGAGATCCTAAAGGGTCATCTCCTTACGTTTGTGCTTGAGATAACTCTTGAACTCTTTCCAAGAAGGTGGCAGTTTTTCTTTAATGGACGCCACTTGGAAAGACTCATTGATTATCATCCCTTCAACATGAATGTCATGGATGATTTTCTGGAGATCTTCAGTTTGAGAGGCAACAGACTTGGAATCCACCATTTTGTAGTCCAAAAATTTGCCCACGACAAATTTCTTTGAACCAGCATCCTCAGTTTTATATTTTTTCTCAAGTGATTCCCAAAGTTCCTTGGCTATTTTGAATGCCCCATAGACATCATACAACGAATATAGTTTCTGCAAAGGAAATCATTATCTTTCCAAGCATCAATGGTCGTTAAAGTTTCTGCAGAAAAAATATTTTGTCCATCTACAGTAGGCTCTATCTCGCGCAGAACATTAGCCAAGTTTAGTGTTGTCAAATAAAACAGCATCTTCTGCTGCCATCCTTTGAAATCTCCGCCCTTAAATTTCTTAGGCTTCTCAGAATGAGGTTTAGTTCTTGATTGTTCCATACTGTTCAAAGATTGTTGGAGAACAATTCAGAAATAAACAAAAATAACAGAAATTCTACTATTTTATTAACCAAAATATACTTGCTGTGCAGAATGAAAATTATACAATGAAAACAGAAATTAATGTTACTAACTTGATTACAAAAGGTAGAGGTTAGCGTAAAAGCTATGTCCTTCGAACAGTATTTTCGTCCCACTCCTGTGCTTGTGGTTCTACGACGTCTGCTCGACCAGGATTCAACTACCTAATTCTCCAATCCGCACTGGATTCTAGAACTCTAGCGAATTTGCTTTTTGTGTGTTTACTCTCTAGAAATTCGTACAGAAAAAAGGATTATCCATTTGGAAACTGTGATTGCAGATATATAGGCTGTTTCACACCCTGAAGGTACACAACTCTTACAAAACGTTTTTAATTAATAAATTAATTAAAAACTTAATCTGAAAATTAAAATTAATGAATCAGATTAATTTTAAATTCCAAGGCCCCAAGCCCAAGGTCTTGTTTTGATTAATTAATATTAATTGTATTTAGGCTATATTATACAAGCCTAATCCACATAACCATACGGCCCAAACCTTCAATCCATTTCCAACTGGCCCATGTTGTAATTACTAGACTAAAGCATTAAATCTATATAAAGGCCCTTGAGAATCTTGTTTTCCCCAATGTGGGACAAGAGTCTCAAAACTTCCAACAATATGTTCCTAAAGCATTAGATTCCCACTAGAGGCACAATGGCAAACTCTGGTTTGAATCTAGCACAAATCCGATCTGGTTAAAAATCGGCGCGGCAACAGCCTAACTCACCACTAAATATCCAAACAGATATGCACAATTGCTACTCCGACGTTGATTCTACCATATATTAGTTTGACGATGACAACCAAAAGCTTCTCCAATATAAATTAATTAAAATCGTGCATGATGTGGAAATATCCCATTGCAATCACTAAGGTACAAATCTGCCTACGCAAATCACCCTTTCTCTTCAATATACCTAAGTTAAGTGTACGTCCTCTCTTTGCCGACTCAAACTGATCACGAGTATGGAGACTTCGTAATTCGTATAGTGGTCCAATTCTTTTGATAAAATCTCGAAGACTTGGTTTTGTTAAAAAGAAGAAGAAAATGAGGACCAGAAATAAGCATTAAGTTTCATGGTGTTTGAACAGTTTCATGTTGTTTGAACTCAGTCAATGAAGATGTCTGCATGCCCTTGGTGCCAAGACTTGGTTGTCATGTTTTAGTTCCAAACAAAAGAGTACAATACCATATGTATTACGTAGTAGTGTAAGTTTATCCCAAATATTTATACGTGTATTTGGCGATAGAGAAAGTGTTGCCAAGATCTTATTAGGAAATATCTTCAACTACTAATCTCTATATACTATGATGGATATTTTGATTGCTTCCACACACTTCCAATCAAAGCAAATGGAAGCATCAAAATCAAAATATCCCATTTCTTATACAAATACACACACACACACACACACATATATATATATGGCACTCATCAAATTTTAATTTATAGAAAGCAGCTGGGCACTACTAAAGGTAAAGGAGATGAGCAGGCTGCAAAGTTCCAAGGAAATCTGATATGGTCGTCCTCATGAGGGATATAGCAGAACTCTGAGTTAAGTGCAAGCTGGACATTGTGGTCATTTTGATGATGGTGAAGCCTGAGCTTCTTCTTCAGAGTTCGGAATTGTTCTGCAGATGTTTCTGTTTCACTTCTGTCAGGCTCCGAGTCCGATCCAAAGTCCTTTGCATTTGATTCTGAGTCGTCACAGAGAGAAGGCAGCAACGTCTGCGACAAGGGAGCTTTTTTAGGTTTTGTGATCAGGATCGGACGGTTCTTGTTTGTGTTATGGTGTTCTGCTGAATATCTTTCAAGAAACCTTCCTTGGGCTTCAAATTTCTGTTTCAGGCTCTTTTGCACCTTAAAAATGAACCCACAAAAAGAATCTTATTAGTAATTTTTGGTGATCGTGACCGTGTTCGGTACTCATATGACAGAAACCTCTTTGACATAACATGTCAGTAAGTTTTGTTTGTGACGAGAATATGGACACACATAAATGACACATCAACGTATATTCTTTGTTAAAACAGACATCCGTTACATATATAGCCTGTCAATTTATATGGAGGTAGAAATTTTGCAGACTGTGATTTGGATAAACAATTTATTTATATACCTCATGTTGATCACTGAGTCTCCTGTTTACTTGTACTTGCATAATTTTGAAGGCTTCATTGAGCTGAGCAGCACTAGAAATTGTTCAAAACACACAGTAGGTTCAAAATTTTATTAGTGAAGCTAATTCAACAATTAACTGATACAACATGGTTATTATTTTTTTTAACTTCAAAGAGGGAGAGGGAACATGATTACTGACGATGTTGTGCCGAAATTAGGCAGCATTTCTGAAATGTTTTTCTTCTGAAGCTTGCCTTCTGTGGAAAATCAAACAATAGTACCACAAGATAAGTAAGCAGTAGGTAATTAGATGCCATCAGATGTACCAAAATATATGAAGGAAATAAATAGAAGATTAAAATTGAACTTACTACTAGTCGACTCTGGAATGAACTTCGAGATTCTGTACTTCTGAAAATCATAAAAAGAAAAAAAAAAACAATCAGATACTTTTTCCTGGAAAATTATCAAAAAGCAGATACAATATGCAGTGCAGTCCAAAGTTTTACATTTTCTCGTTGTTTTCCCTTGGTCTTAACTGATCATATCTCAAAACGGGGCGTGACAAAGGGAAAGAGAACGAACCTGCAAATGGCTTTTGATGTGGTAAATGGTCAGTCCAGAGACGCTCATGGCCTTCAAGATACCCTTTGGTGTTGCCCCTATAAAACCAAAGTGATTATAAACCTAAATGAATACACACCGGCTAGCTATATAGAACAAGCCATGCACACCATATTAATAACTGGGGGATTCGAGCGTGTCACCGAGAATTCACCCCGTCTCTCTATCTCTCGCGTTACACAATCACTCTCGAATCACATGATACAGAGAGATCAAGTAACTGGGACAATATTCACGTCAAATTAAGTAAATTAACTGCATGAACTAAACCTAGATTAATTGGACTTACGATCAGGGCCACCAAGCTTAGTAACTGCCTCCACAAACCTATCATGCAGCTCTTGCGTCCATCGCAGGCGTTCCTTATTCGCCGCAGAGCTCGCTGATCGGCTTAAACGCATCTCAAATTCGTCAAAGATCAGAAGGTGCTCCTGAGCTCTGTGGAGAGGAGGAACACGATTACAACAAAAAGAATAACACGTACAAGAAGCACCAACAGTTGTAAGCACCAACAGTCGTAGACAAAAGACGATGTGAACTAAGTGGAGAGTGCTGCGTTTGGAAGCTGTCTCTAACCGTCGGATGAAACTAAGAAAAAGCAGCAGAGTCCGCAACATTTGAAACTTTAATGTTTTATGTCTTAAAACTTTCTAAGTCAAATATTTCGACTTAAATTCTTTGTTTGCAGTGTTATGTACGAAGTTAAATTTACCTTGGTCAAAGTTCAAACCTTATTCACTAGGAAAATAGAGGGGCTGGCTGCTAGAAATTATATATGCCCAGCTGTCATATTTTAATTTTCTTTAAAATATGTTTTAAATAAAAATTAATATAGCATAAATTAGTGTCACTAATAAAAATACGCATGTGCATTAACACTAACGTAATAATTCAATCATCAACAACTACATAATATAATTTATAAAATTTGATCTAAATAGTTGGTCTCTATAAAATTAACCAAAGATAAAATTGTGTGACGACTAATAAAAGTAAAATTGCGAACAAACATGTATACATCCAAGTAAGTCAACCCCAACTAATTAATCAAATCAAGAGGGCCAGGGGACAAGGAGAAACTCTATAAAGGTCGTACCCAGTGCACAAGGCTCCCGCTTTACGCAGGGTCTGGGAGAGGTGAATGTCGGCTAGCCTTACCCCCATTTATGGAGAGGCTGCTCCCAATTAAAAATGCTAATTAAAAATGCTATAGAGACGCTGCTTAGTACTACAGTCTAGTAGTATTCTTCTTTATTTGTTAGGAAGAGATCTTATGTTCGATTCTTGCCAAATAATATATCTAACTCCCTCCATCCCTTTAATGCGCTTTACACGTGACAAATATTTATTGAACATATAATATCTCCCAAGATTATATCTAACTCCCGGCTTTCTCGATACATGACTCTTATTCCAACTTTCAATATAAACTTACACCCTGCACCAAGAATGCCACATGTACATTTAAATCTGAGTCACTTCAGAATTGCCAAACCTGGATTATACTCATCTTAATTTCATAAGGTTGAAAGGTTCAAATATAATTCATACAATTTGTCATGATTAATAACTGGAAGATAATATAAAAACCGAAGCAAACGTTTGATGGGGAAGAAGAAAGGCTCCAAACCCTTTGAACAGAGCATCTATTATGAACAAGCATCACAACAACAAATGCAGTACATTAAGTAGTGACATTTCCTATACTACTTTGTCAGCCACTGAGACGACGCTATCTGCCTTGTTCTCGTCCGATGGTTTGGGTTGAGTGTCCGCTACTGCCTGCCCCTTTTCAAGCTGCAAGACGGGCATTTGTATTGCTTGATGTTCTCGGCCTTAGCAGGTGTTATCTTGACACATTTTCCGTGGAACCATTTCTCACAGATGTCACAGCCGATCCAAAATTCATCTGCATTGTAATTTCCGCCACAGCTCCCGCAGAGAGTTTCGCTATGTTCATCATCATCCTCCTCGAAGCTCTCATCAGGTGGTAGCTTAGGAGTGCTTTTCACTAGTCCATCACCGGATCTCTACAGAGAAGACGAATCAGTTAGTGGCTACTATATAACAAACACATATTCCAAATTCCTACATCAGCGGTACTGAAAAGCTAGCAATTATAAGACACGACATCTTTGAGTACATCGACATCCGTGGTTTATCTGTAACCAAATATATTTTTGTTCTTTTCTTTTCTTGAGCTGGAAAAAGAAATTTACTGTACATGAAAGCAAAAGATTCTCAACAAGTAAGAACCTTACACAAGAACGGGTAATATAAGATTCTAAGATGGAAAAAAAATAAAAATAAATAAATAAATAAATAAATAAAAAGAACAAGAAACGATTCATCTGACCTTTGTGCTGCCTCGAGATTTGCTTCCACTATCCACGCTGGGCTTTTCTTTGACGGGTTTCCGTTCCGTCACAACTTCAAAGACAGTAGGAAGATCATTGATCAAGCTAAATAGGCGTTTCCTGTAAATATACAGAGCAAATCCTGATGAATAAAACTATCGAGAACTCAAGCAAAGATGCATAAGAACTTGCTGCAATGAAGTTCCTCAATTCCAAACAATGACAGACATTTAAAAGCTGAAACATACAGTCATTTTATACTTGGAGCCTGGCTGCAAGTCGCAGAAAAAAGGGGTCAAGTGCTCAAAATTCTTCAATGGCCATAATGGACTTTTTTAGGTTCGTTTTAAGTTTGGTATATAGTCAATGCAGGACACTGGAAAAGTGACTATTAAACTAAACTACAAAGGATTTCGGTCAGATAATATCTGATTTCAAAATTTAGTGGAGATAGCTAGCGCTTATACCAATTGCTCCACTCACGTAGCTATTCTGCATCAGGTATTATATGAAAAGAAATTTTAAATCAGGATATAGACATCTTAAATCATGCATCGACAACATAAGACGAGGAACACTAGCAGCTATTTATACCAACGTGCAGCAACAACAAAAAAAACATCTCATACCTCTCACTGCGGTTAAGACGTGCTCCAAAATAGAACGCGACAGAGAGCAGCCAAGAATCACTGTGAACAGCAACCAGAGAGAGCCAGTCCTTGCGGTTCATGCCGTCTCTTGCAAAATTGATCCCAAGTGCTGGCTCAGGAAGCTCTGGTGGGACTTCTTCCGCCGGAAGTGTCACCTCCCAGGTTTCATTCGGGTGCCCATACAGACACAAATTCTCCTTCTCTGAACCAAACCAAAGAAAATCATGAATTGGGTCAAAAAAAAAAAAATTAGAAATTGGTTTCAGTTTACCTAAAGTGAACTTAAATGAAGCTAAGGTCAGAAGGCTCCAGTTTTAACAATTAATCCAATTAATTAGCACACAATTACAGTAGAAATTAAGATTTAGCAGAATAAAAAAAAAACAGACAAATGTATCCTTTCCCTAGCTCCTTCCAAATTCTCAGTCTCTAGGAAACATATACAAATTATTTTTACAAAATACATTAAGCATTTAATTAACAGAAATACATTCATATTTTCATACAAAATTACAAAAGCCAGAGATTTTAGGGTAAAATTACAATTAAAATTTCACAAAAGCAAGCAAAATATAATTAGAAGTCTGATCTACAATTAGGCATTTACCTGGATCACAGAGTCCGTAAAATTCATCGACATCTGCGAGAAACCAAAACCACCGAAAAGGTCAGAGATTTCCAATACCCAAAGAAAATTAAGAGAGAGAAAGAGAGGAGAGAGAGAGAGAGAGAGAGATTGGAGTACCGTAAGTTAAAGCGCGGACAACGGCGGTTCTCCGAGCACTGTAATCCTTGAAGATCTCCTCCACCGTTCGCGGACTCGAGGCCATCTCCATGGGATCTAAAAGGGAGCGTTTTGGGGAAGAAATTGGGAATCTAGTGTTAGGCTTTCAGTGCAGGGAAAGAGTTCGAATTAGAGAGAGGGAAGGGGAAAAGCATGAAGACAGATCGGAGGAGGAGAGAGATGCATGTAAACGTGCGAGGAGCGAGAGAGAGAGAGAGAGCAGGGTGTGTTTAGGTCGCGGATACTTGATAATTCCACTCTCCCATCGAGTTCTATGGAGAATCTAAAATACTGAGAAATTGTAATTTAGCAAGGACATATATTGTATCAATTTCACATAGTCGCCTCTATACTCGTTCTAATTTGCAATTTGGCCCCAACGTTCTTGGGTTTTTTGTATGGGTGAATAGGTGTAGGTGGATCCTCGCCGGATCCATTCCCTAGAGATCCCGCAATCCTGTTCGTTTATTGTATATCGTGCAGTTAGAAATCATTTAAAATTTAAAATTCATAAGTAAATAGTACCTAACAAAAACTGACCGCACGATATACAATGAACGGACAGGATTGCGGAATCCCTAGAATCCTTAGCGAATGGATCCGGCAAGGATCCTAGTGCGGTGTCAATCGGTTTGCTTCGGTTTAGACCTCAAATTAGTTAGTACAAACAAGCTAAACCAATTTGGTAGTGACCGATTTGGTCGGTTATGTTCCTTTATAGTTACATGTATCAAAGGGGGCTTTATTAGGAAAAATAAACAAGGATAATGCTTGTGTTCTCTTATGGAGAACTTACTTGTCCCTCACTTACGATTAATGAAATTTTACCATTTGAACATTATAATCAAAATTGTTCATTCTCTTTATCACCATAAGAATATCATATCTAGACAAAATCATTCAATTTCAAGATCGTTTGGTCATTCATACTTGTTAAACTATTCAACGTTTTTTTGTGATCCGTCCATATGTTTTAGGAAACTTTCATGAAAAGGGCTTGGACTAAGTTTATTTTAATAAAAAAATCATGTTATAACTTTATTTAATTAAAAAGACTTAAATTTTAATAAAAATGACAAAAGAACTTAAATTTTAATGAAAATGGCATAATTTTAATATTAAAAAAATTAAAAAAAATCTGACGCGAAGACTCATGCATCCTCACACTGTTTATGAAACTTCTACACTATTTATGAAACTTACGACACTGTTTATGAAACTTACTATACTGTTTATGAAATTTAACAATACTACACCACTGTGTTATGTTTGTAACCCGACCCATTCTCTTTTCTTCCCCTTTTCTTTCTTCTTTTCCTTTTCCCCCGTGAACACTCCAGAACTCTCTCTCTCTCTTTTCGAACTCTCTGCCTTTTCTCTAAACCACCATCACCACAAATTCCAATTTAATTGAGACCCCAAACCACCAAATACAAGACATGCGCAAGCTGGGGATCCCTATGGTACCATGGCATGTTAAATTCTGTAATGGGAAGTAGGATAATCCAAGCAGGGGTTCTTGGTAAGAGTTGCTCTAATGGAATTCAGCTACAACCTTTGAAATAGGAGGTAAAATTAGCTTGGTTTTGTTGTAATTTGTTGCTAGTAATGTCTTCTAGTATCTTGGATCAAATCTGGGTTTGAAATCTAGGTCTGATGGAGTTTTGGGTGGGTGGGTAGGGGACGTTACGCAAAGGATATTAAGAAGAAGAAGAAAACAAAAGTCGATATTAGTCATGACGACAACTGAAACAGACACAAAAATCACAAATCGATCGATTTTTCTTGGTCCAGCCAGGGAAGCAATGAATGACAGCTGCTTCTTTACAGACGTTTTTTATCACGATTTTTATTTTTTATGTTTTTTTATTTATTTATTTTTGTTCTTATCATTAAATAAAGTTAGTGTATGGTTTTTCATTAAAATGCAAATATTTGAAGCACTTTTCATTAGTTTTCCTTATGTTTTATGCATATGAATGGATATCAACATTTACATTTTGCATTGTTGACTGCCGATATCAGAAATATTCCTTTAACGATTAGGTGTGAGGGGGTCTTCTAGCAATGGAAGGAGGAACTTGGCATCTCCAAAATGTGCATCAACATGATGCACAACAGGGAAATTCCTTTGCATTTCAGATTCTTCGACGTTCTCTGCAAGAAACTCTTCATTCTTTTCACATGTCCGTAGACAAGGATATGAGGAACCTTCATATAGAAATGTTAAGACAGTTTCACATGCAAGAATGGAAATGTCGAACGTGATGAGTGCAATGCTGGAGAACCAAGTTGAGCTGATGAACAAGTTAGGTCTAACCGGAAAGAAAACCAGTAGCGCAGCAGCTCCAGCAATTGGTTTGAGCTCCGGTTAAGACTGTCATTGTCACTTTTGACTAGTTTTTTATTGATTTGGGATATTGTCACATCCCGACCCGAGGTCCACTATATTCCGGACTCGACTCCGTCGTATTACGATATTGTTCGTTTTGGGCCCCGACCACGCCCTCACGGTTTTGTTTCTAGAAACTCAGACGAAAACTTCCAAATAGGTCACCCATCCTGGGATTGCTCTTGTTGTGATCTAGCTTAACTTCGGAGTTCCTACAGAACCTGAAGCTAGTGAGCTCCCAAAATGCCTCGTGTTATATGGAGGTAAGCATGTACATATAAGGCATAGAGGATCTACTCTTCCTGAGCGGTGTGGGATCTAACAATCCACCCCCTTTAAGGGCCCGACGTCCTCGTCGACACACTTCCAGCCAGAGATTGGCTCTGATACCAAATTGTCACATCCCGACCCAGGGTCCACCACATCTAGGGCTCGACTTCGCCGTAACACGATATTGTCCGCTTTGGGCCCCGACCACGCCCTCACGGTTTTATTTCTGGGAACTCACATGAGAACTTCCCAGTAGGTCACCCATCTTGGGATTGACCTCGCGTGAACTCGCTTAAGTTCAGAGTTCCAATGAAACCCGAAGCCAATGAGCTCTCAACAAGCCTTGTGCTATATGGAGGTAAGCATGTACATATAAGGCATAGAGGATCCACTCCCCTAGGTGATGTGGGATCTAACAATCCACCCCCCTTAGAGACCCAATGTCCTCGTCGACACACTTCCCGCCAAGGATTGGCTCTAATACCAAATTGTCACATTCCGACTCGGGCTCCACCATATCCCGGGCTTGACTTCGTCGTAGCACGATATTATCCGCTTTGGGCCCTGACTACACACTCACAATTTTGTTTTTGGGAACTCACACGAGACTTCCTAATAGGTCACCCATCCTAGGATTGCTTTCGTGCGAACTCGCTTAACTTCGGAGTTCTGATGGAAATCGAAGCCAGTGAGCTCCTAAAAGGCATCGTGCTATATAGAGGTGGGTATGTACATATAAGGCACATCACTCATTTTCCGCTTGTCGATGTGGGATGTTACAGATATGTACATTGTTTCAGTGTCATAATTTTCTCTCCATCCATGCGCGTTTGTTTTCTAGGTAAAGGAGGAAATTGTATCAATTTCTGCATCGTGTTTCGGCGTTGGTTCAACTGCATCTATTTCTCATTCACTCACACAAGGTTTCAACCAAAAATATTTAGATTGATGAAAAAATTAGACATACTGAAAACATACATACATGAAAGGATTTTTTATAATTGCTGATAGAGCAGCAATCTACTTGTTACACAAGCAAACACACCAAACACCTACTTAGAACATCTCGGAAAGCTTACAATACTTAGAATGATAATACGAACTGTTACGAGTCAACAACCGGCGTTTACAAAGATGTCAGAAACATTCTGATGTTTTTCCTTCGTACCGTCGAGGTTTTTCAAAAAAAATAAAACAAAATAAAAATAAAAAGCAACATTCTGATGCTTGTTTTCTGCTTCGGGGTCAGCTTGGGGAACTTGACGTTGAACTTAACAATCAAGTTCCCTTTCTTGGATTGTTCCTTTTGGATAAGCATCCCCTCCCCTATAATCACTCCTTCATGGGTCTGGCTGATAATGGAACCAATGGAGACGCTCAATTTTCTCCCGTCTAGGGCTGTCAGCTGCGCGATGTGACCCGTCAGAGCCTCCGCTAGAGAGATATTCTGAGTGACAATCAGATCGTCCTCGTCTCTCTTGTAAACACCATGAGGCTTTTCATCGACGATGAAGACAATGTCTGTTGGTATCACACCTCGCCGTGTGTCGTGCCCCTCCTCAGGGAAAGTGATTTTCGTGCCCTTTTTCCACCCTGGCTTGATCTCAATTATTAGAACTTCCTCCACTGTGCTTTTTCTTCTACACCAAAAAATTACTTCCCAGAGCACAAAATTAAACAAAAAATATAGATTCATGAAAAAAAGGAAGAATGGACTTACCCATTAACACCAAGAACATCCCTAGAAATCTTTAGCTTCTTGGTGGCGCCCTTATACAGTTCCTCCAAAGTACAAGGTAATGTCCTCTTAATCGTCACGGCTTTCCTCGACCCATTTCCAGGTCCTGAGTCCGTGCATTCAAACCATTGGAATCCATTTTCCCCTATCGTCTCTCCAACTAAAAACATCGAGAATATCTCTTCTGGTTCCACGGACTCCATAACCCGAGACGTAACCTGAGCCATGTCAGTCCATGCCCCGAAAAATTGTGTGAATGGGTCAGGGCACTTGCCGTTCATGCGGCCAGACCTGGGTGAATGAGAAGGCTGCGTTGCCCCTCTCCTCAAACCCTCATTGCCCTGCTGATCGTACACCACTCGTTTTTTGGGATCACTCAAAACCTGCCCATTTACCCATAATTAGCAACAAATTTCAGTTAAAATAAACTAAAATCGTAATTTGCAGCAATTCCTGCCCATTCTGCATACTACAACTGAAAGCGCTTTTGATTCATGAAGAAGCACCACTTCCAAGTGCTTGAAATTTATTAACAAGGGCTTTACTAAAATCACTTCTAATAAAAGCACTTGTATATAAAACTGTTTTCTACATAAACAGTTTCAAACGAGACCATCTTTACGTTGGAAAGCGTTTATGAGCATAAGTGTTATTATAAAAAAATAGTATCAACAAAGACCATCTATGCCGCCAACAAATTAGAGTGGTCTAGAATATCGCTTACTAGGAAAAAGGAAACTGAAATCCGAATGATCACATACCTTGTAGGCATCGTTGATTAGATTGAGCTTGGCCTCGGCCACTTTCCTCACGTCTCTGGCGTTTCGTTGAACTTGAAGAAGCTTGTAGTAATCGACGGTCACTGCTCTCTCTTTCTGCTCAATCAAAACCGTTGGATTTTCTGTTGGTCTAAACTCTCTGAACTGTGACTAAAGCTTCAAGTGCGACCATATTTAGATAGCGAGCTCAATTATTGATCAGACAAAGAAAACAGAGCAGGGTCACAGTGTTGGATGGAATATGCAAAAGCAGAGGGGCAAAAGGGTATTTTCGCAAGCCTTCCGAGGCAAGGTACCAGTACAGTGGCTTGAGTTACTACAGCAGAAGACTATTTGGTTGAGCAGCTGCTTTTCAAGAAAAGTTGATGGCTTTTGCTTTTGCTTTTGCTCATGAACTCCTCGTTGAGGGGTTTTGGAGCACATGAAAAACAACTTCCTCGAGGGTTCACTTTTTTTTTGGATAAGAGAGGAGAAGTAATTTAGACCTTGTTTGGTATTCTATTTGAGTTCAAGGTTTTTAACTCAAAAACTGTTTCTCAATTCACAACTCAAAAATTTGCTTGGTAAGCTTGTTTTGCAGAACTTGAACTCAAAAACTAGCCTAAAATATGAGAATAACAAAAGTCTATTTTTACTGTTTTTTTTTTCTTCTTCACAACATCTACAGGACCTTGGCATCGAGGCCAGCGACACCAAACACCAAACTATAAGAATCCTATATGGACTCAACTTGTTGTGATAAGGACTAAGATATATGTTGATAAAAATAAATTTAAATTCATCAATGAGTTGTATACGTGGAATACTAGCGTCCTATAATCATGGAAACACATCCAAAATGCTTTGAATACAAACCGTTCTTCCACTACTCAATAACTTCCAGGTTGTGATGATATGGGACGATAACCAACGCACCTATGATAGATGGAAGTTGGCTACCAGTCATCAATAAATAAAAGGGATTCCCTACTCACAAAGTATGGGTTCTAAGTCTAAGGTTCTATCACCATAAGAGCATAAAGGGCTTGAGTGAGTAGAAAAGTTCTTTTGACAACCACGATGGCTTCAACAGGTACATCTTCCTATTATATATATCACATTGTGATTTAGGGTTAATTGTTAATTCTTAGGTAGTCCCAACACAAACACCAACTGAGAGTAACTGGCGGTGATGAGAGATATGTTTACGGCAACTGAGAGATGCTCCGGCGACCATGGCATGGATCTTTCCGGTGACTGAGGTATTTTCTTCCCACCATCCCTAACCCACCATCCCCTCACTCTAACCACCCGCAAGCCCCAACCTCACCTCTCCGCCATTACCAAGGCTTTACTTCAAACTCAATTTGCTCAATTTCAATGGCAACATTTGATATTAGCAACCTACCACCATATATGTGAACAAAACCCATCTGAAGACAACATGACTTCATAGTATGAAGTGTGAAATTGAGAGTTCCAAATCAAACCGTCAAGATATTGGGTCTTGGTGAGTATTTTCCTGGTCGCTTCTCGGATCCCAACCCGACCTTAATATCCTCCCTCAACCACTGCCACCTAATGGTTTTGAACAAACAAGTTTTTGGGTTGTAAAAAAAAATTGCTCTTGAAAGAAGTTCATCCAAGTTGTTTTTAAGAATTATAAATTTTTTTTTAAGTATGATACCAGTATTTTCGAAAAACAATTTGCCTTTTGCCTTTGGTGATATTGGATTATGATAGAAAGTGTATAACAAAAGTCCTTAGCTTTTGTCAAAATTTAGATAGTCAGATATTAGACAATACTAATGCATTTATAATTTATTCGGAGTACGATTTTGAGGAGAATTTAAGTACCGTTTCTTATAATATCGTTTCATTACGTAATTTGTTGTAATTTAGCAAGGACATATATTGTATCAATTTCACATAGATGCCTCTATACTAGTTCTAATTTGCAATTAGGCCCCAACTTATGGGCGTCTCAACACTAGTTCTAATTTTGCAATTTGGCCCCAACTTTCTTGGGTTTTTTTTTGTATGGGTGAGTAGGTGTAGTTGTCAACCGGTTTGGTTCCGTTTACACCTCAAATTAGTTAGTACGAACCAGTTAAACCAATTTGATAGTGACCGATTTGGTCGGTTATGTTCCTTTGTAGTTACATGTATCAAAAGGGCTTTATTAGGAAAAATAAACAAGGATAATGCTTATGTCCTCTTATGGGAAATTTACTTGTTCCTCGTTTACGATTAACGAAATTTTATCGTCAGAACATTATAATCGAAAATGGTCATTCTCTTTATCATCATTTGAATATCATTATCAGAATATCATATCTAGACAAAATCATTCAATTTTAAAATTGTTTAGTCATCCATACGTGTTAAACTAATCAACGGTTTTAGTGAACCTGTCCATATGCTTTATGAATATGAATGGATATCAACATTTACATTTTGCGCTGTTGACTGCCGATATCAAAAATACTCCTTTAACGATTAGGTGTGAGGGGATCTTCCAGCAATGGACGGAGGAACTTGGCATCTCCAAAATGTGCATCAACAAGATGCACAGCAGGGAAATTCCTTTGCATTTCAGATTCTTCGATGTTCTCTGCAAGAAACTCACCATTCTTTTTGCAAGTCCGTAGATGAGGATACGAGGAACCTTCATATAGAAATGTTAAGACAGTTTCATATGCAAGAGATGGAAATCTCGAACGTGATGAGTGCAATGCTGGAGAACCATGCTGAGCTGATGAAACAAGTTTAGTCTAACCAGAAAGAATACCGGCACGGCAGCTCCAGCAATTGGTTTGAGCTCCGGTATAAACTGTCATTGTTTTTATTAGGTTTTTGTGGATTTGGGATACGTATGTTGTTTCAGTGTTATAATTTTCTCAAAACCCGTGGGCGGAAATTGCACTAATTGGAACTGCATCGTGTTTCGGTGTTGGTTCAATTGCAGCTATTTCTCGTTCTATCGCACAAGGTTTCATCCGAAAATATTTAGATGTGAAGAAATTAAACACACTGAAAACATACAGACATGAAAGGATTTTTTGTCATTGCTGATAGAGCAGCAATCTACTTGTTACACAAGCAAACACACCAAACACCTACTTAATTAGAACACCTAGGAAAGCTTAAACTACTTTAGGAAGATAATACGGACTGCTACGACTCAACAACCGGCGTTTATAAAGATGTCAGCAACATTCTGATGCCGGTTTTCTGCTCCGAGGTGAGCTTAGGGAACTTGAGGCTAAACTTGACAATCAAGTTCCCCTTCTTGGATTGTTCCTTCGGGATAGGCATCCCCTCCCCTCTAACCACTTCTTCATGGGTCTGGCTGATAATGGAATCAATAGAGACACTCAAATTTCTCCCGTCTAGGGCTGTCAGCTGCGCGGTGTGACCCGTCAGAGCCTCCGCGAGAGAAATCTTCCGAGTGACAATCAGATCGTCCCCGTCCCTCTTGAAAACATCGTGAGGATTCTCATCGATGATGAAGACAATGTCTGCTGGTATAACACCTCGCCGTGTGTCGTGCCCTTTCTCTGGGAAAGTGATTTTCGTGCCCTTTTTCCACCCTGGCTTGATCTCGATTGTTAGAACTTCCTCCACTGTGCTTTTTCTTCTGCACCAAATAAAAAAAAGAACATTTAAATTTACTTCAAAGTTCCTTTCTATTAGATCATGCAACCAAAACAAGTACTTCCCAGATCACAAAATTAAACGAAAAATATATATTCATGAAAAAAGGGAAGGAGGGACTTACCCACTAGCACCAAGAATATCCCTAGAAATCTTCAGCTTCTTGGTGGCGCCCTTATACAGTTCCTCCAAAGTACAAGGTAATGTCCTCTCAATCGCCGCGGCTTTCCTCGGCCCATTTCCAGGTCCTGAGTCCGTGCATGCAAACGACTTGAATCCATTTACCCCTATCGTCCCTCCGCCGTAAAACGTCGAGAATATCTCTTCCGGTTTCACAGACTCCGTAACCCGAGACCTGCCGGTCCCTGGCCCGAAAAACTGCGTGAATGGGTCAGGGCACCTGCCGTTCATGCCGCCAGACCCAGGTGAATGAGGAGGCTGCGCTGCACCTCTCCTCAAACCCTCCTCGCCCTGCTGATCGTACACCGCTCGCTTTCTGGGATCACTCAAAACCTGCCCATTTACCCATAATTAGCAACAAATTTCAATTTGCAAATTTTAGTTAAAATAAACTAGAATCGTAATTTGCAGCAGTTCCTGCCCATTCTGCATACTACAACTAAAAGCGCTTTTGATTGATGAAGAAGCACCCCACTTCCAAGTGGTTGAAATTTTTTAACACGGGCTTTACCAAAATCTAATAAAAGCACTTCAAATAAAGCTGTTTTCTACATAAATAGTTTCAGACGAGACCATCTTTACATTGAAAAGCGTTTATGAACATAAGTGTTTTTATTAGAAACGGTATCAACAAAGACCATCTACGCCGCCAACAAATTAGAATAGTCTAGAATATCACTTACTAGGAAAAAGAAAACTGAAATCCGAATGATCACATACCTCGTAGGCATCGTTGATTAGATTGAGGTTGGCCTCGGTGGCTTTCCTCAAGTCGTCGTCTCTGGCGTTTCGTTAAACTTGAAGAAGCTTGTAGTAATCGACGGACATTGCGCTCTCTCTCTCTCTCTCTCTCTCTCTCAGTTTTCTCTCTGCTCAATGAAAACCGTTGGATTTTCTGTTGATCTGAAGTCTCTGCGCTGTGACTAAAGCTTGAAGAGGTTACATATTTATACAGTGAGCTCAATTATTGATCAGACGAAAGAAAACAGAGCAGTCACAGTGGTGGATGGAATTTGCAAAAGCAGAGGGGCAAAAGGGTATTTTCGCAAGACTTCCGAGACAAGGTGCCAGAACAACTTCCTCGAGGGTTCACTTTTGTTTTTTGAATGAGAGAGGAAAAGTAATTTAGTATTTTGGAAATACAATTTGCCCTTTGCCTTTTGGTGATATTGGATCGTGACAGAAAGTGCATAACAAAAGTGATTAGGATTGTGGAATAATTTGGGAATTTAGGCGAAAACTTCTATCCAAATTGCCCAATGAAATTTTTTTTAGTCATTTATTCACAATATCCAGAGATTGGTTTGCAGATTTTTTTGCCCAACATGGTCACGAATGAAGATAGAGAATTGTGTAGATATAAGGACAAAACGAACCAACCTATTTTTTTTTATCAGATTGACTGAAAAAAAATAATAATGATGGGCCCCTTCACCCAGGAGGCATCGTTGGAGAACAATGTCAGAGACAAAATGGTGCACATCTTTTAAACACCTAAGACGTAAGTCACATGTCACTAAAGAATTGGGATCCAACCACGCCACGTACTAAAAATCGAAAATAGTGACGAGATAACATAATTGGTGAGAGTCTTAAATCAACCAGTTTGACCATGTGACATGTTCAATCATATTAACAAGTGTCCCTGGAAACTTAAGCAAAGGTCTAAATGGAAAGTAAATGATGATAAGACATCAAAATTCTTCGATGATGGACCTAGACAAGTGATCAAAATACCGGACCAAGATTTTTATTGAAATTGGAGGTAAACATTTGGTTTGACATAGCGAGGGTATACAATATTCCACAGTACAAGCGCGCAACAGAGTTCCCGACAACCTTTAAAATCCACTCTGAAAATTACGGGGAAATACATAAAGCCGTCAACAAATAGATTACAAATTTCAAGTGTGAAAATTGAAGTCCATCCAGCATTTCTACATAGTAAAGAACAAGATTGAACAAAACACAAGAGGAATGTGGAAATCAACATAACCTCATACTCAAATGTTGTGATCGAACATCAAACCCTCATTCGACGAGGCATGAATTTCCAAACCCGATAAAAAGAGCTAAGAAAGCAAACGAGTGCAAAGCTTCCACAAGTTCGGTGGGACGGACGAGAGAGCTACCGTTGGCAACTTGGCCTTCACTAAGATGTTAATAACCGTTTGATGTTGGATTTTTGGTCCGAGGTAAGCTTCGTAGGGAACTTGATGTTGAACTTGATTCTCAAGTTTCCCCTTTTGGATGGCTCCTTGGGAATAGGCATCCCCTCCCCTTTAACCACTTCTTCATAGGTGGGACTGATGATATTGGTGATGGGGACTGTAAGATTTCTCCCATCGAGGGTTGTCAACTGTGCCGTGTAACCTGTCAAAGCTTCTGCAAGAGATATCTTCTGAGTGATTGTAAGATCGTTCCCATCCCTCTTGAAAAGGGTGTGAGGCTTCTCATCAATGATAAATACAAGGTCTGCGGGTATGATTCCTCTCTGTTCATTCCCTTTCTCTGGGAAAGTGATTTTCGTGCCCTTTTTCCACCCTGGCTTGATCTCAATTGTTAGAATTTCCTCCACCGTGGTAGTTCTCCTGTAAACAAAGAAAAGGACACAAGAATAAATAGCATATAGATCCAACACAGACTTGCTAATGTATATCGTTTTTCATTACTTTTACCTCTAGTCAATTAAATTGATCCAAAAGGTGCCAATTCGACATCTGGAAGATAAACAATAACATTACTAAGGACAAGATCATCATGCTAAGCAGCTAAAGCCACAGTACCTCCCAAAGAGTTTCTTTCCGACATCAACATGTATTAGATTAAGCAAATATTCACCTTCCAATCAGCAAAACTACGATTCCCACTAAACCAACAGACATTTCTGCCACCCCAATGCTAAAATTTTACGATTTACCACTGCCCACAAACCATATGTACGTGTGGACCTCCCAGGCTCAACCATAGACAATCATACTAGCAGAAAGTCTCAAGAAGTTTAACATAAAGCCATTTGCACCCGCAAAAGAGGGTACGTAGATATGTTACACTAGGGTCAAAACATTTTAGTATGCCTAGCTAGGAGACACAGATAGAATACATAATCGTAGTAAACGATATAGGCAACAGTGCAAAACTTGACTATATAAGCAGACAAAAGAATCCATCATTAATAAGCAGGAATGAGCATACACTATCTCATAGTTATTTGGGCATCTTGGATTCCCTATCTGCTGCCAGATATTCAAATATAGAAAGTCTCATGTAGTACTCTGCATCATTTTTGGTTGACTGTCTTGATTGTGAGACAATAAAAGACACCAAATACATAAATATCAGGAAATATATGTTCATAAGTGTTATGAGGTTGACTATTCCAAATTAAAAAATGCCCAAGACTATTCGATACTGCTTTCCAAAAGTTTCGCAATCCCAAAGAAGGAAATAATATGACGTCGTGGCTTTCAAACATGAGTTACAGGTGACAGGTAAAGTTGTCTGAGATGATTATGAAGGATATAGTGGAGATTAGAACATAAAAACTTCAAACAGAAATAGTAAGCATTACGGCTTAGTCAGTCAGTTAATCTTTAGTTTATATCTTCATGAGCATTGACTTTCAGGTAAACCATTACTCAACAAGAAACATCTACACAAAGCTCCTATGTATATACATATAGCCAAATTCCTAAGTAGATGTATGCAGATTTTCTAGTTATCCTATATTTGGAAACCAAGAAACACCTTGGTCAGGTTGACAGCTAAAGTCTAGAAAGACGAGGCTTCACGAAGGAACTTATAAGGTTAGTACCGGAAAGAACCATAATCTAGATTTAGCACATTTAGGTAGCACTATTAACTAATTTTAGTTAATGAGATCAATAAAAAAGATGCACATAGAGTGATATATCAAGCTCTCGCAACCACTGATACATACTGATGTTTTGTGCAATTTGTCGACAAGAGCTTTCCTGCTCAAATAATGATACTTTTAATCCAA